AAATAAAGCTTTTTCTGATCTTCTGTGGAATATTTTTTTAAACATGAAGGGTTGTTTTTTGTATTCCTCAGCATTGATTTGCCTCTGTCTCTGGAGGAACTCTTGGGGTTATAAGCTCCTTCAGCGGGAGGAAAGGATCTATTGACCCATAAGACAGCTGAGATACACTAGCAGATCTTTAGCTCCCCTTCTTGGCCCATCTTTCAGTCTGAGCACAAGGACCCTTTGTGTCTCCCGCTCTCTCTTGGCTGGCAGCTGTGGGCTAAGCACTCATCCATAGATCTACACGTTTGTAATTTCCAAGCAGCACACGTCTATCATCTCTTTTCCTCCTGTGCCTCCATTCTAATCTTGGAAATCCTGTAAAAGAGGCACAATAAGCAAAGCCATGGGAGGCTGATTATGCTGATTTCATCTCTATTTCAGACAGGCCGCCACTGCAAGAAACACCAGAACAGCAAGGAGACAAAGTTAAGGATGGTAAAAGTTAAATAAAAAATAAAGAGAAGTCTAATGGATTCACTTTACATTTAATGAGATGACTGCAGATGTGAGTGGCTGTGGAAAGAAAGATACATATAGTATACTTACAGTGAAAGGAATGTGGTATTGATCTGGAGCACATAAGTATTAACTTAAAGGCTTTTAGGACTTAAGTAGGGGATCTACAGTATGTAGCCCATGGTACATTTTGTTTAGATATGCTATAATCATGCAGGCAGATGAAGGTATTTAAATAAGTATGCCCAAGCGCTTCCAGATGTTACATTTTAAATCCTGTCATTTCCACTTAGTGTTACAGTCCATGAAGTCCATTTGGAGTAAAAGCTCCTTAAACAAGGTAGTTTTGTAGAGCATTTGGCAGGATCAGCAGTCTTTGATCCACTCTTTTCCTGCCATAGCTGTTTGCTTTCTCTAATTTTGCAAACCCAATGTGACATCCACCTTTTGAGCCGAGACAATTTGACAAATAAATGATGACCATCTACATTTTTAATTTAAAAGTTGGATTAAAAATTAACCGTGGCCAACATAAGACCTTGAGACCTTGACTTTTCAAGCAGGTTCCACACCTCTTTTTCCTGGTGCGTTTTATTTATTTATTTTTCTTCAATCAAAAAATGTAACCATCCAAAATACTGAGCGAAGAATAAATTGAGATGAATGAATAAAATCAGTCTAGTCAGAAAAATAGATGTTTTATGAAATTAGATGTGAAAATAATATTTTGATTGCATGGTTTTATGAGTGAAGGTAAAACGATAGTAATAATATAAATGTACTGTGATTGAATGAGTAAAGGTACTTTATTTATGATTTATAAATATTGTCAACACAACAAAGATTTAAACCTTTCATAATTCAAGGAAATATGCAACAGTAATGTCATGTAAAATGAGGCAAGGATTCAACAACAATAAAAGAATAGTTTAGTTGTTTTGAAGTGGGGTTTTGTTGGAAGGTTATGAACAGTTATTGTCTTACCTGTTGAAGGTAGCACATAGAACTTCGTCTGTTTGATGAAATTGTGTTTAATTTTGATTGAACTAAAGAGCTAGTCTTGTTTTCTCCATCTTAAAATAACTCTGCTCTCAAAATTTGATAGCATTATTTTGTAAATATTTATATCACTTTAAGATTTCAAGCACAAGATTATTCCAACAGAAATATGATATTCCTGCAGAAAGTACCCTCTGACCAAAAATGCTACAATTAGCTACATCTGAACATTTTTGTCTCAGTCATAAACATCTATAATCATGTAATGTGAAATTAACCATTGGACCAGCAATTGTAATTGGCAGCCTGCTCAGAATTCCCATAAACTGAAGCAAAGGGCTGTCTACAACTTGTAAGATGTTTATACCATTTTCTCAGACTCTCACATGAAAACATCTGAAAATTGCTTTGAACATTTAAGTACATCAAATTGTCTTTAAAGAAACTTTTTTTTTCCTGGCTAGCTTTTGTCAGATGAAACTGCTCACTGGAAGCAAAAAAAAAAAAAGACTGGAAATTAATGATAATTTGGATGAACTCAGAGCAAGTGTCATTTTTGAAAGCCTGTTAGAAGCAAAATAAATAAGAAACCTTTGCCTTCTTTGTTAATTATCACCCAAAGTAACAAAAACAGTCACCCGAGAAATAAATGCACAAGAAAAATTAGAGAAATCGTATATATATATATATATATATATATATATATATATATATATATATATATATATATATATATATAAGGTATGCACTATATTATCGGCATGGTATCGATATCGGCTGATATTGATGTTAAAATTCAATATCGAACATCGGCCATTCCATTAAAATAACCCGTCGATATAAAAGACACTGATTTTGCCTGCAGCAGCAGCACAACGTGATGACATTGCAGCGGCAGCGCAACACGATGACGTCCCGTGCACCTACCCGATCTCACGGCAGAGAGGAAAATTCAAAATGTCGGCGGTATGGAAGTTTTATTTTTCTATTGGTGAGGATGTTGGATTCCGAGGATTTATGGACTACGTTGAGCGTTGCTACATCGTCTCCAGTCGGAGATATTTTTTTGACGTAACGTTGCCAGAGTTACAAGCCGTCATTTCCGACGTCATTGAGAAGCTAATAGCCGATAGCGCAACTTGTTAGGTGAGTTTTACCACAGACATTTGGACATCGTGTTATCCCCATTAGCAAGCCTGGACCTACCATATGGGCAACATGGGCATGTGCCCAGGGGCCCTTGGCACAGAGGGGGCCCTCTACTGCCGGCAGAATTTTTTTTTTTTTTTTTGCCGCAACCGAGCAGGTCACTCTGACTCCCCTCATCCGTACAGCACTGTGAGGGAGGATGATAAAGCTACTCACAATAACAGCTGCGATGGGGCAGTGAATTTCTGGTTTTCAAGATAAAACACAAAACCCTATAAAATTCTCATATCTCACCTTATTTTTGTTTCCTTTACTGTAGAAACCTTCCGGTCCGACACCGGAAGTATCAGTACTGCGGGGGTTTTTGTAAGTTATTTGTATTCAGTTTATCAGCGCAAACGTTGTATTTGTTTAAACGTGAAGTTTACTAAATGTCCTACCGGGGTTCAGGTACCTGCTGTTCGCGGCTGCACAAACAACCAGACCAAGCTAAGACTACAGCAAACAGTGTTTTGAACACGGACCCAGAAGAAACCACGCATAACGCTGTTTCACTTTGTAAACAAACAGCCAACGGACTCTCTGAGTTTCTGCTCACTGAGTTTCATAAATTTGTATCCTGCCTACAAAAAAGAACAAGACCAGAAAAAACTTCTAAAGTTAAGAGCCATTGTGCTTTCTGTGAAGTGAGTAGGCCAATAAACTGTTGAGATTGTGCAGATAATACAGTGCTGGTTATAAAATAAGAATATCATGAAAAAGTTTATTTATTTCAGTAATTCCATTCAAAAAGAGAAACTTGTATACAGGTCCTTCTAAAAATAATTAGCATATTGTGATAAAGGTCATTATTTTCCAAAATGTAATGATAAAAATGAAACTTTCATATATTTCAGATTCATTGCACACCAACTGAAATATTTCAGGTCTTTAATTGTTTTAATACTGATGATTATGGCATACAGCTCATGAAAACCCAAAAAGCCTGTCCCAAAAAATTAGCATATCATGAAAAGGTTCTCTAAACAAGCTATTAACCTAACCATCTGAATCAACGATGTAACTCTATAAACACCTGCAAAAGATTCCTGAGGCTTTTAAAAACTCCCAGCCTTGTTCATTACTCAAAACCGCAATCATGGGTAAGACTGCCGACCTGACTGCTGTCCAGAAGGCCATCATTGACACCCTCAAGCAAGAGGGTAAGACACAGAAAGAAATTGCTGAACGAATAGGCTGTTCCCAGAGTGCTGTATCAAGGCACCTCAGTGGGAAGTCTGTGGGAAGGGAAAAGTGTGGCAGAAAACGCTGCACAACGAGAAGAGGTGACCGGACCCTGAGGAGGATTGTGGAGAAGGGCCGATTCCAGACCTTTGGGGGACCTGCGGAAGCAGTGGACTGAGTCTGGAGTAGAAACATCCAGAGCCACCGTGCACAGGCGTGTGCAGGAAATGGGCTACAGGTGCCGCATTCCCCAGGTCA